TTGGCGTTTCATATTTGAGAGCAGTCACTGCAATGTATGAAAGAAATCAATTAAATCTGTATGTGGGAGTGTGCGTGAAATAAGCAGATGTAACCCCCTTTGTAATCCTTAACATTTTAATAAGTAACTGTAATTTAATTACATTTTTTCTCAGTAACTGTAACTGATTACAAGTACTTTTATTTTGTAATTAAATTCCGTAATTCCGTTACATGTAACTAGTTACTCCCCAACACTGCTAATATTGCTTGTCAGCATTTGTAGAGCTCTGAGCGTAAGGTTTAAGTCTGACTAGGATTAAAGGATTGATTTTTCCAAAAATAAAAACTGCCATTATTTATTCACACTCATGTCATTTTTCAAATCTTCTTTATTAAATTACATGTTAAGTGTTCCTGCAGAAAATCGTGGTTGTGGAGTTGAACCACCCTGGATGGTTCAATATTGAGAGACTTGTATGACAGAAGGGACAAACGAACAGCCGGTTCCCTCTGGGCATAAACAGGAAGAGGATGCATCATAATCAGATGCAGAACAGACAGTATGGATCTGTTTATTCTCAAGAGGAGACGGTCATGGGAATGTATATGCATGTTTTTCTGCTATGGATATATGAGGCTTCACAATGTTTCCATGTCCTCTGGATGCTGACATTTTTATAAACAATTAGTCACTAGTGAAAATCAGTAAAGGTTTCTTTTTATAGACAGGCAAATAAAGTAGCTGGAGTATCTGTGCATGAGATTGGTTGATTATAATTAGTTTCACCTTTTCTACAGCGGATCGGTTCCAGATTAAGCACTGGCATAGTGTTGGCGCAAAGGTGGTAATAGTGAGTTAAAAGATCCAAATCATGCATTTGAACTGAATTAGATTTCCTGAAACAAGGACGTTTTTGTGTGTATACTGTATACTCATGATTTCAAGGTGTGGCAAAGAAAGGATTCCCATCTTCCTCTGATCTGAACTCCCATACCTGGAAAACCACGTTAAATGTCTTTTTTTGCAAATGCCACTCAGATCCTTTATGCATTTAAAGGAATAGTTCACCCAAAAATGAAAATTTGCTGTAAATGTGCTCATCCTCAGATCGTCCAAGATGTAGATGAGTTTGTTTCTTCATCAGATTTGTAGAAATGTACACTCTAAAAAATGCTGGGTTATAATTTTTTTTTAACCCAAATGCTGGGTTCAGCCTGATGTGGACTCTCATTCTGACGGCACCCATTCACTGCAGAGAATCCATCGCTGAGCAAGTGATGCAATGCTACATTTCTACAAATCTGATGTAGAAACAAATTTTTGGTAAACTATTCCTGTAATCACACTACTCATAGGGAACTAAACTTCATAGCTAAAGTCGATTTTCAGAAATGAAAATGCTGGCAAAGTCTTGCAGCTTTAAATAGACGTCATTTACAGGAAGAGCTACTCGTGATCTGTTGTGACATTCATTTTTATATGACAATATCTCGTTTTGTAACGCACCACATTGTGTTCTTGCACAATGTCTATTTTTCTTATAAAGATCGTTTGATTTGTTACTCCACAGATCTTTACAGTGTTGAAATCCTCATAGTAGGGCTGCACGATAAATCGAAATGGAATCGCCCCGCAGAAGAAACCCAAGAAATGCCTATAGCGGTTGCTGAATAAACAGAAAATTTAACTGCTTTCATTGATTCAATGTGACTAATAAACACAGGACTATGACAATATATGATTTATCCGAGTTCTTATTATAATTATTATCATTTTCATTCTAATAAAGTATATAATAATGCAATGCTTATCGACATAGCCTTTATCACTACTACTTCGAATACTATGAAATATGTTGTGTGCCTTATTCTTTGTAAGAAGCCACATCATCTCACAGAAGGATTTATTTCAAACACTCGACTGACGTTATGAAGTGAGTTTGGAGTAAAAATATGTTATTACATGTGGTATTTTCACATGCTTTCAGATGGAGCAGCATTTACTTCACAGAGCCGTAATTCACTGAGAAGCTATGCAAACAGCTGTTATTATCGTGAAAGATTTCTTCGATTTCAGAATCGCGCAATAAAATCGTCTGCGATTTTTTTTTATTTTTTATTTTTTTTTTGCGTAACTTGTCAGTGAACTATAGTAAATTCTGCTCCATCTTAAAGCACGTGATGATGATTTCCTGTTTGGAGTAAAAATATGTTATTAAATGTGGTATTTTCACATGCTTTCAGATGGAGCAGCATTTACTTCACAGAGCCGTAGTTCACTGAGAAGCTATGCAAACAGCTGTCATTATCGCGAACGATTTCTTCGATTTCAGAATCTTCGATTTGTTTGCGTAACTTGTCAGTGAACTACGGCTATATGTAGTAAATTCTGCTCCATCTGAAAGCACGTGATGATGATATCCTGCTGATTACAGAACCGGCTTTTTTAACAAAATGTGCATGACAATCGCATTCGATTAATCGTGTAGCCCTACCTTATAGTCACATGGTTAGATGAACGCTATTGAGCATGACTGTCAGTCATGAATGCATGAGCGGTTGGATCATCTCAGCATCATAAAGGCAGGAATGTAATCTTATTACAGTCTTTAAGTCGTGTGATTATCTCTGCAAGCAGTATTCCATTAAAATGTCTTATACACAAATACAAGCTTTAAATTATTTATGTTTGCACTTATGCATTAAGCAGACGCTTTTATCCAGAGCGACTTGCATTGCATTCAAAGTTTGCATTTTATCACTTCATGCATTTCTTGGGAATCAATGGTGGGAATCAATTTAGTGAATCATTGCATGCACCATTTGATCTATACAGAAGTACAGGATATTATTGCTCGTAGTATTTTTTTGTGTGCCGTAATGATGCAAAATTAACTATGCACGCTCCGATAACAAATGGGATGTTAAAAAAATTCAGTTTAGCTTATTTCAGCAAATTTAGTAGGTCGTCCAGGTATTCTGTGCATGCAATAAATTTGCATGCTCTGTGCATTATGAATGTTGTCTCTCTTGAGAGCAGTTCTTGATGAGGTTTTGATTCATGCTTTCTATCTCTGTTATCTTGATTTTAGCCAAATTGCACCCCATGGGTTGCATTTGTACCTGACAGATGAAGCAAGAGTGACGTTTTGGCTGCATTAGTGAAGCAAACATAATGTTCTGAATGCAAATTGTGCCTTGAATGCAGATGTGCTGAATGCAGATGTGCAGCGTGCAGACAGGCTCATGTCGTCTAGTTAATTGAGCACTTAGAAGAGGTAAGAGTCCCATCTCCCTTGCTGACTGCATATGGCACATTAGATGGCATCGTCAGTCGATTCGCCGTTTCCCACTGGTTTGGTTTTATGGCAGGTTTGCTGCACTCGAGCGCCTCCTGATTGCTGAATAATCACCATCGAATCTGCATTTGCACTCACGAGGTTCATCGCTGATCGAGTTAGTTCATTTGTTTGAGATTGAAAACATAAATGTAGCTGAAATGCTCAAATAAACGTGTCCTGCCTGAACTGATTTCTGTCTGATTTCAGAATGAACGGCTCCAAATGTTGCTTTAAAAACTGCAGTTGATGGGTTTTATGTGCTGCTGCTCAGATGTCTTCCTGTCTAAGTTATAAACAGGAACTGCGGATAACTAACCTGCTGTCCATCAGGCCATTTGAATAGCTGTTATTATCTCCTCCTCAGTGTTTCCATTTCTATATTCAGAGAATACAAAGTATGTATTTATTAGTTCTGTGTGATTTGGAGAAAATGTCTAATTGTGATTTTTTTTGTTTGTTTTTTTGGACAGATATTGCGATTGCGATTTGATTTGCGATTTTAATTTTGCAAACTCAAGCTTCAGCTTAATATTGTCAGTAGTGTGCAGCACAGTATGGGTATAGTTATTGTTACCCTGCTGAAAAAAACAAACACAATAGAAACCATCACAGAAATTCTTATGGTTTCCATTAAAACAATTACAAAATTCCTTTTTGTAGTGTGTTTAGGGCATTATTCCAATAGGAATTACTGTTGTTCCATTGTTTCCCGTCTGCCTGATTACATCCCACCATAGAATCCATCAGATACCAGTAGACACCATTATAGTTTACATTAAAACCAATATAATTCCCATTATAACCCTTAAATCCATTAAGTTTTCTATTGTGTGTTGGGAGGGGTTCTATTGTTTTTTTTCAGCAGGGAATATTATAATGGTATTATTACTTTTACAGAATTTACTTAGTTACTGAATTTCACAGGAAAGATTAGTTTATTTTGTGTAAATAAAGAACTGTATTACAGTCAATTATTAAAGTATTAGGTTGATTTATTCATTTTTAGGTATTTGGGATTTTAAGAACAAGTGGAAAATGTGCTGAATGTTTCATTTCATCCAAGTGAAATTAGCAAGCAGTTAGACTGAATTTACATTTGTCTTAAACGCGGAGCCAGGCGCGAGTCGACACAGGTTGCGCGCGTGCATCAAGCCTCATCCATACTGTCAGATGCGCTCGTGAAGACTTGCGGAGCCGGGTGCGAGTATAACCGAGCATTATGAGACAGGCTGCGTGAGTGCGGCAAGCATGAACGGCTCGTCCGTGACGCGGGATTCGC